TAAGTTAAAATGATAAAGTGTTATGTGCCAATTGTATAACCCCAAATATAATAAAAAAATGATGTCTTTCCGGCATCTAATTATCAGGTATGTATATAATGATGTATTATGCAATAATGAATATGTATCATCACAATACTATTAAAATGTATATATTATAATTATATATATATATATTATATTTGTTGTAAATAATATTATATATATTTGTGTGTAAAAATTCGTGTGTAAAAAGATGCTTTCAATTTGGATGCAGAGGGCGAATAATCTTTAAATGGATGACCTAACTCTTCGGTGTGACACAAATCAACGATAATTTGAAATCGAAACCAAATAGAAGTGTCTCCTTTACGGCAATAACAGAATAGTTTTTCAAGTCACTGGAGAATGCTCTGATACAGAACCAGAAAAAAAATCTGCAACTCCAAGGACAAAGCCAAGTAATATAACTCTAAATACTTCAATAACATTTGCAAAAAATATTAATAAATGAATCTTATGTTCTTAGGAGATGGAAGCCTAAACACCTTGAAAAAGATTTTTGCAGCACCTCTAAGATTGTGAAGTGCAGGTTAAATGTCACCTATTCTGACACCAGTTTTTCCGAAAAGGTATTTTTCATACTAATTGCAGCAAAAATATTTAAATATGATAATTACAAATCTTCAATTATATGATATAACAATATATTCAATAGAAGTCCTTGATGGTAGCTGCAAATTGCCGCAGAATGCAATGATAGGAAGGTAGGAGTGCCTAAAACCCAGAAGATGTATGATAACATACAAATTTTGTTTCGGGATAAAATGCAATGCAATAATTAAAGGATAAATTCCAACAGAGTATACAATGTTCTGAGAAGTTTTCAAATATTCCGGAAACTTAAATGTAAGGGCAAGAATTTTTGATAATGTCTCAATTAAGAGAGCATACTCAAAAGACCAGACAGTTATAAAGCGCAAGGGTTTAGTTATAGTTTTAACTAAACCTCCTTGCAATAAAAACTGGATTAAACACGATAGATAGATTGAGCTACAATTGGTATAAATTAAAAGTAGTTTCAGGTTTTGGTTACTTACGTTTAAAAAAACACTATACAGAAACTATTCAAGATTTTGTCAAATATAACTTTATTAATGATTGATTAGATAGCAAAAAACTATTAATGGAGAGAAACAACAAGAAATGTCTAGTAAATGAATTTTAATCCTAGGAATTTAGTTTATCTCAATTTGGATATCAATATATTATATATTATATATATATATATATATATAATATATATGTTGATGTTGGGGGGTTTCTCAACCCCTTTCGAAGTATTTTATACTTCGAGGAAAAATAAAAAAATTAAATGTATTCAGAAAACAAAAACCAATGGTAAACAAATATAAATTAAAAATAAAATTCTTCTTACTCCGTAATCAATAATAAACTAAAATATATTCTATATAAATTTTATATAAATGAAAAAACAAAATGAACACTAATTAATATTGTATGAAAATGTTATCTGTTTTGGAAGTCCAAGCCGCGGCAGCTATTTGGTTGGATCTGGAAACATCAGCGTAGTCGGTTGGATAGGTTGAAAAGAAATTCGAATACACTGACAAATAAAAATAACTGTTGACTTGACACACAATAGAAATTTAATCCACTGATAATATTGAACTGATAACAAACACTGAAAGGAACTGAATGTATTGATTGCAAGTAACTGAATGAATGAATTAAACCAAAATGAATGAAAACCACGGAATAAATCAACTCGAACACTGTAAGGAACTGAAAGTAACTGAACGAATGAAAGGCGCGGAATGAATTGATTTGAATGCAAACTATTGCCTGCATCGGCCTTTTTATGAGTCAGAATTGCCCGATTGCCTAAATTTGAAACGTGTTGTCCAAGTAGAAAAACAAACCTTTTACAGGTCCGACAACCTACACAGGTGCGGCGCAAACATTTTCCCCCGACTAAAAGGTTAGCCTTTTATACTTCTGAAAATACTCGAAATTGGTACATAGTGAACCTCATGATTAGGAAGGATAGAATTGCCAAAATAAATTCAAACTTTCATTCAGAGTAGATCGGTTACGGAAGCCTGACCTCGCGCCAGGGTCCCGCTCTCACGACCTACCACATTCACACGATCTAGATTGCGGAAGTTTTATTTTCGCGCCAGGGTCTAGATTTTTTGGACATTTACAAGAATCTTCCAGAGACTATGAGGGGTGTTCTCATCGCCCTGGAGATTGAAAATTTGGCAAAACTATATATAGAAGCAAATATATCATGAGATAGAAAAGTTTTTTTTTTTTGAAATGAATAATTCAGATATAAACTATTGAATAGGTAGGGGGCATAGTTTGACAACAGGCCGCTTGATTAGGGTATTTCCCGTTTTTACCAATGCTACTCGAACCACTCCATCGGGCCCGGAAAAACCTCTTCAACTCTTCCCAACCCCCAATGAGCGGACGCGCATTCTCTTGTTTTACAACTACCAAATCACCCTTTTTAATAGGATTAGTGACTGTATTCCATTTCTGTCGGACCTGTAGCTCGGTTAGATATTCCACATTCCATCGCTTCCAGTAAGAAGCGACAATATGATCTAACAATTGTTTTCTTTTAGTCAAATTCAAGTTTTCATAGTCAACGGGCAAATCCGACAGAGGCTCTTGCATTAAGAAGTGCGCAGGCGTAAGAGGTTGAGGATCCGATGGATCATTGCTCAGCCAACATAACGGTCTTGAATTCAGTAAGGCTTCGATTTGATTGAGGACTGTATTAAACTCTTCGTAGGATAAAATTTGCAACCCTATAACTTTAAACAAATGGGTCTTCACTGATTTAATATTCGCCTCCCATATACCTCCAAAATGTGGGGCAAACGGTGGATTAAATTTCCATTCAATGTCATGTAAAACCAATAATTCATTGAAACGCTTTTTATACTCTTCGGAATTTAGGAGAAGGAATAAGGAATCAAGAGTATTTTTGGCTCCTATAAAATTGGTTCCACAATCGGAGTAAATACATTTAATAGGACCACGCCGGGCTAGGAATCGTTTCAAGCAATCTAAAAATGTATCGCTTGTTAAATCTGAAGCTAATTCGAGATGTATCGCCTTAGTGGCTAAACAGATGAACAAGCATATATAAGCCTTGTAGGTTCGAGCGCCTCTGTGACGACTCATGGAGATATTGAAGGGGCCTGCATAATCAACGCCGACGTTTAGGAAAGCTCTACTGGCTGTTATGCGCGGTACTGGTAAGTCGCCCATGAATGGAAAAATGGGTTTCGGATTCTGTCGAAAACAAGTTATACACTTGTTAAGACGATTACGAATTATTGCACGAGCCGACAAGATCCAATATTTTTGCCTCAATAAAGATAATACTAAGTTTGATCCAGTATGTAAATTATTAATATGGTAGTAATCTATGAGACAATTTACTACTTGGTCTTTTTTTGGCAAAAGAAGTGGATTGTTATTAGTTGTTAATCCTAATCTACCTTTAACGCGTAAACAATTATTAGAATCCAAAACCACATTTAGTCGGCAAAACTTCTTCGAACAAGACTTTCCGTTCGTTAATAGTTTGAATTCTTCGGGAAAATGATGTTCTTGGACTAAACGAATAATAATAACCTCGGCTTGTTTCAAATCTGAAGTCAAAAGTCGGTTTCGATTTGTTATAATTTTACAAAACTTCAATATATAAGCGAAAATTCTTACAAGTTTGCACCAATTAGAAAATTTTTGCGTTAATTCATATAAAGGATTGATCGGTGGTATGACACTCTTTACTATTAGAGCGTTAGCTTTTCTTTCTTGATCAATATCTCCGGAAGGTTCAACCGTTTTTGCAGGCCAAGTTGATATAGGACCATTCAACCAATCCGGCCCAAACAACCAATTCTTATGTTGGATAAAATCCTTAGGTCGAAGACCTCGAGAAACACAATCGGCTGCATTTTGATTAGAAGGAATGTGAAGCCATTGTGCATTAGGAATGAGATCCCGTATTTTTGTTACCCTATTGGCTACAAATGTTTTCCAACGAGTAGCCGGTCCTGCTAACCAGTGAAGGACAATCATAGAATCGGAAAAACAGTAAATAGAATCAAAATCTATACTATGTTGGTTATTCGTTAATATAAAATTCAGAAGTTTTGACAGTAAATGACAGGCACAAAGTTCAAGCCTGGCTAATGTTTGGTTTTTAATCGGTGTTACACGCGATTTTGAAATCAACAAGAAATTCGGATTGCCAAGAGATTTAATATAAACTACCGCTCCATACGCTTGCTCTGAACTATCCGCGAAACCAAATAATGAACATTTGTTTTGTTTTGATGTTTCGAGATAACGCGGAATCTGATAGTTATTAAGATGCTCTAATTCGGAATATACGGCTAACCATGATGTAATAATAAATGATGGTAATTCCTCATCCCAATCGATTTTTAATGTCCAAATTTTTTTCAATAATATTTTTATCTTAACAACTATCGGAGTTAGGAAACCCAGAGGATCCCAGATTCGCGCTATTACTGAAAGAAGTTGTCTCTTTGTCCATTTTCTCCACGTAAGCTTTATTTCGAATGAAAAATTATCTGATAAGGGATCCCATTTTAATCCCAATACCTTTGTAGAAGATTCCATTTGAAAATCCGATTTAGAGAAATGTTTATTTTGTACATCAGAATCAGAAAAAGTTTACGCAGATTAGAATTATTAGATTCCCACTTTTTTAATTCAAAACCACCAGACGATAATACAGTCTGCAAACCCTCGCAAATGGTTTTAGCGCTATCCAAGGAGTCGATACTTGTAACCACATCATCAATATAGACATCGTTCTCAAGAATTCTAGAAATAGATTGAGAATATTTGGAACATTCGTCTCGGGATAGTTGTTTGATGGTTCTGATAGCTTGAAAGGGAGATGATGATAGACCAAAAGTTACGGTATTTAATTCATAGATGCCAATGGGTGCATCGGGAAACGGTCTCCATAAGATTTTTTGATATTTTCTATCTTGTTTACGAACCCAAATATTACGATACATTTGTTTGATATCAGCTGTTAATGCTATAGGCCCGAAACGAAAATTTAGAAGGATTGAACAAATGTCGGTTTGTAATTTAGGACCAACATGCAAAATTTCGTTCAAGGAAGTGAATTCTGAATTTTTCGCAGATGCATCAAACCAACGCGTAAAGGCGTAGAGGAACTTTCTTTTTCGACTGCGAAATGAGGAATATAATATCCATTTTTTATTTTAATAAAATCATCGACTTCCTGATCTACCGGACAATAATCGACAAAGGATAATTGGTTTTGAGTCAGGTAATCTTCTATAACGGCGGCATATTTTTTATGAAATTCGGGATATTTCAAAAATTTATTTTCAAGCATGTGGTATCGCTTTAAGGCTAAATGAAATGATTTGTATAAATTTCTGCCTTCACTTTTAAAAGGCAGCGCTACTACATATCGTCCATCTGGAGATCGCGTAGTAGTTGTAGTAAAATGGTTTTCGCATAAATCATCGTTAGAAGAGAGGATTATTTCGGGAATGTCTTCTAATTGTAAGAATTTATTCATTTGTAAATGAAATCTGAATCTGAAACATTACATAAATTAGTAGAAGTGCCGGTATTTTCAAATAAATCAGGAATGGAACCTAATATTAATAACCCAACCGGGTTTCTAGGGCCACAGGTAATCCTTTATCATTTTTAACTGATTAGTGCCAAGAATTTCGCCGAAAACATCGCAACCCAAAATTCCGTCGACCTCCTGGGGTGTATGAAAGTTAGGATCCGCTAAAGGATAATTCAGAAATGTTTTGATGGATGAAATCGGAATGGTAATTTGTGGTTGCTTTCCCACTATCTCGTGTACTACGTATGCACAGACCGATAACTGATAAGAATCAATTAAAGATTTCAAAGTGAAATTAACTAATCCAATAACTTTATGTGACGAATTGCCTAACCCGATCACTTGGGTTGATATTGGAAGAATTTGTAAATCAGCCTTTTTGCACCAAGTTAATGTCACAAAATTTCTATCGCTTCCCGAATCAATAATTGTACGTAATAAAATGTTTTCTTTTCTAGTAGTAACTTTTACTACTGCTGTCGGCAATATGGTAATATGATGTGCGATTTTGTTTTGATTAAATGCGCATAAAACCGTACTACTGATTTGGAATTAGAAAGATTATTTTGATCCGTACTCGCAAAATTGCTACCAGTATGCAATAGCGAGTGATGTCGTTCGTTACATAATAAACAGGTTTTATTCGATCGACACGTAGTCGTTATCTTATGACCCAAACAATTGTCGCATAAGTTTAATTTTTGAATAAGGGATCGCCTATCAGGTATACTCAATGAAAGAAATTTCGAACAAGTAAACACTCTGTGTTGTTCCCGACACACAAAGCATTTGTTATCATATTTATTTTTTAACAAAAATGACCGGCTAATTTTAGTGTTTTTGTAATTGGGTTTGTCATTAGTGAAATTGTTGGTCATACCATATACTTGATTTTTTGCCTGTTGTGACTTTTGAAGAAAATGCAGGAGGTCTTGGTATTTGGGAAACTCACCTTGATAAAAATGCTCGAATTTTTCTTGTAACAACGGATCGAGTTTCGAGAATGCCAGTGACGTAATAAGGAAATCATAGGCGTCGGGAATATTCAATTGGGAGAGCGCTTGCACCGCGGTATCGAATTTTTCCAGGAATGAATTTATTTGTCCAGATGAAATGGTTTTGAATGACAATAGTTGTTTGAAATAATTGGTGGCTAAGTACCGTTTATTTTGGTATTTTTTTATGAGCGCTTCCCAAAGAATTTGATAATTATTTGCGGTCGGTAGTATAGAATGAAATATTTTTAAAACCGGACCCTGTAACGCTCCTTTTAAAAAATGAAATTTTGATACATTATCTAACTCTGTATTTTCATGAATTAGTGAATTGAATGTTTCATAAAATAATGGCCATTGTTGAATATCTCCTGAGAATTTAGGTACTTCAATGGACGGTAAATGTTGTTTGGGTACTATGTCTTTAATTGAAGAACTATGCGCATTTTTATTATCTAGTAATTTCTCAGCGTGTTTTATTTTGGCATACATCGTTTCAAGGGCCTTTATTGCGGAATATTCCGGAATGAAACTAGGATTATCTAAATATTTCAATTTGTTTATTTCATCGCACAATTGAATAAATTGTTCACGAGCATTTTCAGTAATATATAAATTTTCAAGAAATTGTGTCTTATTTGAAGATACATCAATCTGTTGCGATAGATCGTACGTTTCTTGCACAATTGAAAAGTACATCTCTCTCTTGGCGGTTAGACGTGCAATTTCTGCACCAATATCGATTTTAGGCGCCATTATATATTTTTGTTTCTGTATACACCCAATTAATCCTAATAATAATTAGGATCCGGCTCGAAGGACCAAATGTTGATGTTGGGGGGTTTCTCAACCCCTTTCGAAGTATTTTATACTTCGAGGAAAAATAAAAAAATTAAATGTATTCAGAAAACAAAAACCAATGGTAAACAAATATAAATTAAAAATAAAATTCTTCTTACTCCGTAATCAATAATAAACTAAAATATATTCTATATAAATTTTATATAAATGAAAAAACAAAAATGAACACTAATTAATATTGTATGAAAATGTTATCTGTTTTGGAAGTCCAAGCCGCGGCAGCTATTTGGTTGGATCTGGAAACATCAGCGTAGTCGGTTGGATAGGTTGAAAAGAAATTCGAATACACTGACAAATAAAAATAACTGTTGACTTGACACACAATAGAAATTAATCCACTGATAATATTGAACTGATAACAAACACTGAAAGGAACTGAATGTATTGATTGCAAGTAACTGAATGAATGAATTAAACCAAAATGAATGAAAACCACGGAATAAATCAACTCGAACACTGTAAGGAACTGAAAGTAACTGAACGAATGAAAGGCGCGGAATGAATTGATTTGAATGCAAACTATTGCCTGCATCGGCCTTTTTATGAGTCAGAATTGCCCGATTGCCTAAATTTGAAACGTGTTGTCCAAGTAGAAAAACAAACCTTTTACAGGTCCGACAACCTACACAGGTGCGGCGCAAACTATATATATATATATATATATATATATATATATATATATATTAGGTTGGGCCGAATCATTATTGTAGTAAAATTAAGCGATATGGGCACCTTTTCATATGAAATATATGTGTTATTTAAATGAATTTTGACTTCAAAACCATATATCGCAAATAACTCTTTAGCCAGCGAAATTTTCAATAAAATACTGTTTTTAATAAGTTAATATATTAATTTAGGCATGTGAATAATTCAAATTGTGAGTTATATTTTAATTGATAGTTTGTACGGGGGTTTTTAAATCGGGTTTAGTTTGTTGTTATTTATTTCCATCAGAGTGCGCTAGTATTTTTTTATTATAATTCTCGAAGTTTCGAAAAGAATATATTAATGTAAAAAACCCGCATTAATCTTCATTCAGTTCTCCAGTTAGACGTGAAGTATCAATGGCGAATTCTTATTTAAATTCAGGCGCAAGTGCCAGTAATTTGAATCATATGCGCTCGCATGATCAAATTACATTTGGGGAAGCAGGAGAATTTACTGGAGTAAATCTTCCGACAAGTATGGAAATTATTAGGTATTATTTTTATTTGGCCGAAGAATCAAAAAACAAAATAAAATGTTTTCATATAAAACATTTACTCCAAATGTGGTAACGAAATTGATTCAGACGTGGGAAAAAATTGATATTCCAATTATGGAGAAACGAAGTATCGCTAGAAAATTGAACCGATTGATTGATAAATATAAAAGTACAAATAAAAGCAAGTCTACCCAAGCATCATTTCAGGAGTTTGTAGAATCCACGAAAGAATTATTTTATATTGGAAAATGCAAATGCGATTTGCGAAGAATACTGTGTTCCTGCGGACTGATCCCAGCACACTTGCAAGCGTTTATGATGGATCAACATAATGAGAGGAAATCTACGATACCAGAATATATTATAAAATTGAAGATAAAGTATCAGCATCTACAATAACTAGCGATATTACTCCAGGTGAGACATATACTCCTGATGTTGGTTTTGAGTTTAAAAGCAGTTTGAAAAGTTCACAAAATACTTCTCATATAAAACGTGGACCATATAGTCGAAGATACAAAGCTCCAAACTATGCCTTAATATGCGACAGATTTGCAATCTCTGATAGAGTTGGTTCTGCCGTGGTGACAGCAATCCTGAAAGACCTAGACATAAAGGATGATTGGGGCAATCCTGTCATTATGGATAAAAATAAAAGCGTTCGTGAGAGGCAGAAAAATAGGCAAGCTCTACTCAAACGATATGATTCTTCTGAATTAATAGCATTTTCATTCGACGGCCGAAAAAATGATTCTATTACCATGGAAAAAATCGATAAGAAGTTTCACCCACGAATGATTAAAGAAGCGCATTTAGTTATTTTAAAGGAACCGAATTGCCAATTGTTGGGTTACACAAAATTGGAAAATGAAGATTCGGAAAGTAAAGTAATCAAATTGAACGAGTTTTTCGCCGATAAAGGAATAGCTCT